TAAATATTTAAATAATATGTAAAATTTTAAAAATAAAAATAAAAAATTATCTTTAAATTGTTTTTATTTTTATTATTTATTTTCTTGCCAAAACATTTAGGGGAAGCCACACTAATCTGGCACCTAGATTTATTGACAGCTGGCAAGATCGTATCTGAACACGTGTAATTTCATATATCATATAGGTACCTAGTATCGAACAGGATGAATCGAGTTCAAATTGGATCAACTCATACAAGTTTAAATCGTAAATGAGTTGTGAGTTTAAAAAATCTAACTCTAGCTAGACTCTAATATGTTATGGGTTAATTTGTGAATTATGGATTAATTTATGAGTTGATCTTATTTTTATTTTTTATAATTATTTTTATTAATTTTATTATATACAAATAAAATTATATATATCTAAATCTAATTAAAATATTTTAACTCACTAAATACTTTATAATCAACACTAAATACTTTATAATCTTCACTAAAAATATTTAAATTAAAAAAAATTATAAAATTATAAACAAGAGTAAGTTGATTAATAATATTAGACTTAAAATATTTAAATTTCTTAGAAAATAAAATTTTAATTTTATAATCATCTTAAAATATTATCAAGGAGTTTAAGCACTTGTTTTAACGATGAAATTGTTTTTTCAAGAACATCTTTTACTAAATTATTATAGTTATACCTTAACATCACATCTTTAATATTTTTAGTTGTATTATCATTTAATTCATGATACTTGACAATTAAATCAAACCTACATAATTTCTAGAGAAAAAAGAAGAAATAATGATAAATAAATACTTAAAATAAATTCAAAACCATTTGAATAATGGAAATGAGATTGAAGAGTATGAATTAATGGAGAGAATTATTAATAAAAAAATTAATTAAAAATAATAAGTATAGTATTTTTAAAAATAATAATAATAAATAAAATAAACAGATCAATCCATCAACTAATAAGTTAATCCTAATTCGACTTATGACTCATACAGGTTGATATTACAGGTTACAAATTAAGATATGTAGACCCTAATCTATTTTTACGAGTTGATTTAAGATCGAGTTGATACGGATAGATTTTTATCACCTCTACATATAGATTAAAAAGTATAATAAATATATATTTTTAATTTATTTACATAAAAATAATAAAAATTGATTTTAATTTTATTAATTATCTAATTAAATTATTTCATGTAATATTAATATTAAAAATAAAATTTATTCTTATAATTTTTTATATAAATTAATAATGAATATATCTTTAGAGATATATATTAAAAAAGCTCTGTTTTAATTTTAGCATTTTACCTTTAACCATTTGAAAGAAAAAGAAAATTATGGAATGCTCTGGTTTAAAAATAAAGTTAATATATATTTATAGAGTTTTTATTTTTTTATTTTCGGTAAATACCATGGAAGTATAATTTATATAATAATATTATAATTATAATGTTACATTATATTTTTATATAATATTATAAGTAAATTTTTTAATAAAAAATTAATTATAAATTATTTTCTAGATATAAATTTCTCTTCTTTTTTTCTTTTTTCCCTGTATCATGTGTATCAAGTATACGCTTACTTGTACCGATCGGTTTTTCCTCGAATCTTTCAAACCGTTGCTTTGTGAAACAAACAGGTGGTTCGCCTCTGTGCCAACATCCACGCAGCCAAACCGACTCTACGTGCATTCGGGGACATCGGCCGGAGCGACGAGCAATATTCCAGCGTTGCTCGTAAAGGGTTATCCACAGAGAACAATTTTCGAGAACCTCGACGACGCGGGAATCTCCTGGGGAATATATTACCAGAATATTCCCTCCACATTGTTCTACAGAAACCTAAGGAAACTGAAATACCTCTTTAGATTCCGTCCGTATGGCTTGACCTTCAAAAATGACGCCAAAAATGGCAAGCTTCCGAGCTATGTGGTGGTGGAGCAGCGGTACATGGACACCGTGTTGGAGCCGGCGAACGATGATCATCCGTCGCACGACGTATATCAGGGGCAGATGTTTGTGAAAGAAGTGTACGAGACGCTGAGGGCGAGCCCACAATGGAACGAAACTCTGTTGGTGATCACGTACGATGAGCACGGAGGATTTTACGATCACGTTCCGACGCCGGTAAAAGGGGTCCCCAGCCCGGATGGAATTGTGGGTCCTGAACCGTTTTTCTTCCAGTTTAATCGACTGGGGGTTAGGGTTCCCACCATTGTCGTCTCACCTTGGATTGAAAAAGGCACCGGT